ACATTCTGTATACCATCTAGCATATCAAGTCTCTGGAATATATTGAGGTGAGAGAACCCTATGTCTGAACTCAATGCAAAATTGAAATAGATACCTCTGTGCAGATTAATGCAAAATATTTATAATTCTCTTCCTCACTGGATTGGAAAAGGAGGCATTTGGCAAATTAGTGGTTGGACAGATACCAGCCGACAGAAGTTGTGTTAATCTGTTCTTGCAAAAATAGAGTATGTGGCAAAGCTGTTCCATAACAGCTGGCAGTTAGCTGAGTTTGCAGTAGATAATGTTATCATCCAGAACCTGACTTTTGCAGGAGGAAGATTAATTTATTAAAATGGTTATATACTAAAAAACCATTCTCACTTGCATCTTTAATTTTTTCCATCTTTTTCCACACCCCTCCCAGAATGAAATTTTATTTCCTATGTTGACTGAGGGTTCAACAGCGTACCCCCCCCAAAATATAATCTTTCTGAAATCTCAGAATGTGACTTTATTTAGAAATAGGACCTTTGTAGATATGATCAAATTGGAGTTTGCTGGCCCCTAAATCCAAAATGACTGTTGTCTTTTGAAGCAGAAAAGATCGAGTCACAAGAGAGATGGCCATGACAAAAGTGTTGTTAAGCAGCTACCTCTGAGGAACTACAAGGATTTGCAACCATTACCAGAGGCTAAAAAAGAGGCTTGGAACTAATTCTCTCTCTGAGTCCCAGAAAAAACCAATCCTACCAATCTATTGCCTTGACTGTGAACTTCTGAACTCTAAAACTGTGAGAGAATACATTTCTGCTATTTTCAGCTACTTACTTGGTTACAGTAACTCTAGGGGACAAATGCATCTCCTCTGATCCTCTTATCCCTGAGACCAAAGAAACAGTGTGTGGTCATGCCAACTCCCATGCAGGTCTCTTGAATCATATATGCAGGAATGGAGCTGTGCAGAGCAGCTGGGACCACAGAGAAGTAGGCAGACTCACTATGAACTGGACATAGGCCAGAATTTTAATTACTTCCTGACACTCAAATGTCCCTACTCTGATAAGAGAATCAGGATGCTTTTTGTCTCTGTATCCAGCAGACCTTGAAATGTCTGGGCATTACTCATCTTCCAGGGCACAGTGACTTACACTGATGGTCACAGAGCCCTTTGAAGAGGGTCTAGGGGGACAGCCACCATGTATACTTGATGTTACTGTCTGTGTGCTCAGTATTGCAGTGGCGTCTGCCTGTCATCAGCTCACAACTGGGAAGATATGCCTTGCTGGGAATGTAAACTGGTATAATCATTATGGAAAACAGTAAGGAAAGCTGTCAAAAAATTAAGAATAGAAGTCCACATGCCCTAGTTATCCCATTTGGGTATTTACCCAACGAACACAAAGACACTAGGAGATAATTCAAGGAGATACATGTTCATTAAAACATTTACAATAGCCAAGACTGGAAAATAACCTAACTGCCCATCAACAGATGAGTGAATAAAAAAGACATGCACCATTACACAAGGGAATAAGCTTTAAGAAAGAAAAAGTATAAGTTTGCCTTTTGCAACAGTGTGAGTAAACCTAGGGGTATTATGCTGAGAACAAAAGGCACAAATCAAACATAACCAAACTAAAACAAACTCTAGATAATAAGAACCGAAAGGTGTTTGCCAGAGGAGAAAGGGAAAGGAAGACGAGTAAACTGGGTTAGGGACCAACTGCGTGGTGGGGACAGGCATTACTTGGGAAGTGGTCATGGTGTGGTATGCACCGATACTGAATACAGTGCCATACACCTGAAGCCTATATGATGTTTAAACCAATGTGACTTCAACAAACAACTTTAAAAACAAGTGCTTTTAAAATCTTGCCTAAGTGTTTAAGAGCACCAAATTTACTAAAAAATTCTAAAGAAACTGATAAGACATAATGTTAAAACATTTAATCTGTTAATGTAATAAAATGTAAATGAAAGAATATTTTCACAAAATAGACTGAGATTTAAAAAAACCTACAAGAGAATCTAGTTTAAATTTAAAATAGGAAGGTGAATTAAACACTGTTAATTTTCCTTCTTCACTTGGAAACTCCCCTCAGGGCCCTCCCTGGTAGGGCAGCTGGTTAAAGCACTGCACTGAGAAGCTAAAGCCACTTCCGCAAGAGTTCGATTTCCCGCCTGCCCTGGAGGTGACCACATGGTGTGGCAGACCTCTCCTGACCCACCCGCTGCTCCCCTCAGCAGTGTACTTCGTTGATCTGCCTGTTCTGCTCCCTGCTCTGTCTATGGTGAAGCCTCTCGCCGCCCCTGAGCCTCTGGCCTGTACCCCAATTCTCTATGCACAAATAAATCTTTAAAAAAAAAAGAAAATTCCCCTCAGATAACTTGAAAAATTACAATTTTAGTGTCAGTTTTTTTTCATTTTTAATATGACTCACTTATTATTCATTTGTCTGTATTAAATAACAAAGAATCCATTTCAATATACAAAATGAAGGGTTGTCCTCAATCTTCAATTGTTAAGATGCATTACTAATAATATAATCATCTTTATATTTTTTCACAGGAAATCATTGAGAATTACATGTAACATGTTAGAAATAAAAAATAAGTAAATGTTTACCTTATAAGAATTCAGCTGATATAAAAATTATTCACCTGAGAATAAGTTTTTCCTTATATGTAATAATGTTCTTTTAGGAAAGAAAATGAAAAATCAATATTAGTAATAGTAAAAATACATTAAGGGTAAGCATTTCTATTCTTTAAAAATGAATGCCTATTTATGTGCTACATGAAAATAAGTATGATGAACCCTGTGTACAATCAGAATGAAATGTGCCCATCACAAACCAGTAACAACTCTTATCCTAAATAGAATTGTGCTTCGACATTATTTTGTTAGTATTATTAGCAAAGCATTTGTTATATTACAGTTATTTAAGTATCTATGTGCCTGCTAACAGAGTAAGATGCAAAACTGATCATCTTTCTATCCAAGGAATCATTGCTTGAAACAGTCATTAACTATCTGTTGAAGTAAGGTACTGTAACAAGTTAAGTGGTTAAAATTATTACTTGTGCCAGTTCAAAAGACAAAACTGTTTTTAAAAAACACCTATAGTATTTTACTAGGCTCTGGGGAAAAAAAATTAAAGCCCACAAAATGAAATGTATAGTCCACTCATTTCGCAAAAGCGAAATGAAAAACTAATCACTGCAGACAGATTTACTTTACTATACTAGTCTGAAACCACAGTCACTCAGTAAAGTCTGGTCTTTTGACATTTGAATATGTATGAAAAAATACAAGTTAATTTTTTAACTTTTGCCTTATATTTATTTGTAATGCTATAGAAAGTTCTGAGATCAGTAATTTAAGATACTTTGAAATAAACTAATAAATATTTAAAACCATGAAATATATCCTGTAAATAAAGATAAAACTTCACCTTTGATTTTCAGTTTCCTTTACTTCCCACCCCACTTACCATTCCTTTAAGTGTTTAATTAAATTATACTTCTGAATAGGAAATTTTTTTTTATTACTGTGAATAAGGAAACAGAACTACAAATAAATTGTAACCAACATGTTCAGTGTTAGTATGCAAGAACTAAAATAATTAACAAAACTTTCCTTAATGTCCTGAGAGCACAATAATGTTAGCGTAACTGAATGAACAAAGATAAAAAAGTATCTAGACTATTCAGTATAATCTCAGTTTTAAGGAAAAGAAATTTACTTTGCATGGATCACACAGTCACAGATCTAATGTGAAGGTGACTGAACCAACATGTGAAGGCAGGTAATGTTCTGTCTGAGTCACACTCTAAGGTAGCAGAAATCTTTGTTGGTCCAATTGAGTTCTAAAAAAAACTAAGATTTCACCGACTACCCTAGTAAATTAGACATGTATGTTTCTTACACTGAAGTCAAGTGTTTAAGGTAACAGAGGGCTTCAAAAACACAACCCAAATGAGAAGCCCAAGGTATTTATTTGACTACTAGATACTAAAAGATATCTGAAGTTATTGCACCATTTAGCAATAATTTGCTTAGAAAATGCAGTGTGCTATTTATTATTTTCTCTGCAAAGGTAAAAATTTTCTTTCAAATGCATCTTTAATTGTATTTATCGTGCAATACTAACATTTAGTAAAAGTTACAACTTTTATTAAAAAAGTTATGACTTTTACTAAAGATGTAAAAGTGAGGTTCTCAAGGGAAGAATCCAAAAGATTTTTAATATGAGGCAACTGACATGATAAAGATTAAAACTAAATCTTACAAGAAGCAATAACTTAGCTGTGGTTATAAAATCCAAGCGGAGATTGTACAACAGCTCATTTAGATTGGCTAGAAGTCTTTTGAAACTGCTGGTAAAGTAGGATCTTTCAGGAATGTGCACAGCAGTAGACAAAGCAAGGGAAGGAAATGACATCATCCACCTTGTGCTAAGACTGAGAAATGAACACTATTTTAAATCAACTGGTAAAGCCTAAAATTACAGATGTCTTATTATATAGTAAAGAGTTCAAGTATTACCTATGTTCAGTAATTAGCCACTTCATAATTAAAGGGTCATTAAATTAACTCAGCAAATCCTTCTGCTGTTGCTGCTGTTCTTTACGGCTCTTGATAATGCAAAAATCACACTTTCAATGTACTTGTTTTTGCCAAGTCAATACTTTCATTCAGCTTGTTGAAAATATAATGTCAACTACTATTATTTATACAGTGTTATGTCTACAGTCCATACCTGTGTCCTACAGAAGTATTTCTAAGATTTCATTAATCGTAACCTTACTTCAACTCTGTCACAGGGTGGAAATTCTGTTTCTAATAAAAGAGAATTTTGTAGTTTTCTGTTAATCCTTAATTTAATCTCCCAAACTTCATTTATATCCCACAACATTCCAAAGTGAATTTGAGGTGAGTTAATAAATAAATCTCACACTTACATACTTAAAACTTTAGAGTAGAAAAATAATCAAATAAACTTTACCAAGAAAGGTGATAACCAAGAAAATTATTTTATTCTAGAGTAAAACAAAACGTGCTCTTTGGAAGGAAGACAGCAAAAATTTTTATCTTCCACAAAGGTAAGAAAGAAGGATCCTGTCCTAGCTACAAAGAATCAGACTTCATAGATTCCAGCCACAGTCTTTCTTTAATAATTAAAACACTGCTAAATCTGTTAGAGGCAAAAGAAGTATAACTAAATACCCAGGTCACCCATCTGACAGAACATGCTCCTCTGACACTGTAACTGATGAGCACCTCCTGGGATGCCACTTCCTGCAACTGTCTGAGCTGAGAGTCCCCACCTCCTGCAACTATCTGAGCTGAGAGTCCAAGCTTCAGCTCTTCAGAATGTCAACTCACAAACAAAGTTTCTTTTAGAAAGTAAGAGTGAGAAACAAGAAGCTTTTACTTTGTGTTTCTTTTCTACCTCTCCTTTACCGATTAGTTATTTTTATTTAGATTGGGACATTAGGTAACAAGATGGTGTAAACCTACAAATACAGATAACTGCTCAAAAGAATTCTATAATTACTTCTTTAAGTCATAAATTCAGGAGCATTGTTTCAGAAAGGTGAAAGAGTAAGTATTCAACTTCACATACAGATTAGTTCAATATACTGCAGATACAACAATATGTTCAATTAATTATACATAAGTTTTATTTAAAGAAAAGTAAAACACAAAACCACAGCATTTCATTTAAGAGAACTCAGGAAAATCCCAAGAGCTTTCATGGTTCTTCAGTCACCACTCAAACAATAAACCTTTTAAACCAAAGTTAAAATAAAGTGAAAAAGAAATCAATATGATAAGCAAACTGAACAATACAAGTTCAAAATACCACTCTGTCTCCCTGTGTTCTTCCCCACCAAAGTGTGCTGTTTAAAGTTCCACAGCTGTTATCTTCTTCCTCTTGTTCTTTCGTGAGTTCTACAAAAACCTGTATGAAAGTAAATTAATAAGTAAATACAGCAGTCTGTAGCACGACCACCTCAAATAATTTTTAACTAAATCAGAAATATCAGTATAAGGTTATATCTAATTACATTAACCTTTCAAGTATAAAGTGATTCACTGCCATTAAGACCACTTAAACAGAATAATCTCCATTACCACATATAAAGATTAATGCTACATTAGAGAATTCACAGACTGTTTTTGATTAATTTAAATAGCTCTCATAAAAATAATAGGTCATATAACTTCAGATATGTTAATATAAAATACCATCTATCATGGCACATTTTTTGTTACTAGAAAGAAAACAACTGAGTTATTTGAAACAAGCAGATAGTAAGCTTAAAGTTTTAAAAATTCATACAAAATTTAGGAATAGTCTACAACAATTTGTGTTTGGTTCATAAATTCCCTCCCTTTCTAAGTAAACATAAATAATTACATATCAAGCATTTTCTTCCACAGAAGCATTTAAAAAAAAAAATTCATAGTACCTGTTCCAATGTTGCTTGAGAAAAGCTATATTCTTCAATGGCAAAAGTATGTTTAGCTATTAGAATATAAAAACAATATTTTATTTATCACAATTTTAAACAATAAAGTGACAATAACTAAATGATAAATAATTTTTAGTAATCTCAGTAATCAATTTGTTTAAATTTGAAGGTGTAAAAATATGTTATGTCCCTCTATCTTTGTTTTCTCTTGTCCACCCTACAATTCCTCTACAGCCCCAAGTACTGTAAACTTACTATAGTTGCCTTTTTTTACCTTCTCTGAGCAGTTCCTCTTCCTTGCTCGTCAATTGTCTTCCTCACTAGTTTGTCCTCTTTTCAAGGTTCATATTTTTTGTATTTTATGCTCATTCCTACTCTCTGTCTCCCACTCCTCAATTCTAACACAGCCTATTCGTGGACTAGATTCTGGATGTTGATCATAAGTACATAAGCTTTCTCATTTATTTCCCATCCTTTTTCTTTTTCTTTTTTTAAATTTATTCATTTATGCATACAGAACAGGTACATGTCAGGTCCAGGGGCGATGAGAGGCTTCACCAGAGACAGAGTGGGGAGCAGAACAGGCCAACTGATGAGGTACACTGCTGAGGGGAGCAGCAGGCAGATCAGGACAGGTCTGCTGCATCATGTGGGTCGCCTCCGGGCCGGGGACTGAACTCATGCTGAAGTGGCTTTAACTTCTTAGTGCTGTGTTTTAACCTGCTGTACCACCAGGGAGGGCCCTATTTCAGATTCTTTCATAATCTTTTCTAATATCAAGTTTATGGTTCTCAATTCTTTAAGTCTCCATAGGAAACTCAGATGTTCTCTTCAATCATCAGAAAGTTCCCAGGGAATACAGGATGTTTCTTAGTTTACAAATGCCATGATACGCCATGGAGATTAACATGTCCTCCAGCCAGGAGTCTGCTACTTTCTCCTGTACCAGCTTATCTTTATTCTACATTTTACTCTAAAAATTCCATCATGCACTAAGCTTTTCTGAAGCTTTTAAAAATGTCTCCCCTCCTGGTCTATGATTATCTTCTCCTCTCTCCTCCTGCCTCTGGAGTGTTGCTACAATGCTACTTCTACAGCCCAATACTAAGTAAGGATTCACAAAACCTAATCACCACTTCAGAACTGAACGGTGATGGCTGAGTTTCTCAGTGATGCCATGTGAACGGCTGTAGTGCTACCTACTAAAGATAAAAGGTTTAAACTCCAATACTGTTTACCTGCAGAATCTGTATCTTAGATGAATTACAGGTTATCTTCTTATTTACCATCACTTAGTAGAGTAAACTGAGTTCCAACTTTTAAGTATTTTAAATGAAATTCTTTTATGATCTAAAAACTCACTTTACAATGTTATCAAACATGATTTACCTTCTTCCAGCTTAGAAAAAGATTGTGAAAGGGACTGTACATCTTCCTTAGGAATTTTATAAGCCAAAATAGAAGAAAAACTGAAAATAAAGAAAAAATATTGGACAGTTTTAAAAATAACTATTCCTGTTTTCTAAACATAAAGTCAAAAATTTTTAAATTCAAAATTAAACTCTAATAATTTATCTTGAGATTTAGATAAAAATTCTTTGCTTGAAAGGTTGAACTATTTCAATGTAAAATAAAATAACTGTCATGACTAATAAAAATTTTAAAAATTTTAAATACTATCCAATATCAAAATGTCTAGCCCTTAGATACAAAATTGAATTTAAGATTTTTTTAAAAAGTTAGTTATCAGGCTACGCTATTGATCACACAGAGTTTTATCCCTTAATAATAACCAGTTTTAATGATTATGGTTCTACAAAGAAATCTAAATTTTAAAAATCTTTACCTTTCTTGACGGCTTGCATTTGGGAAAATATACTGAATTTCTCTGTGAAGGCGGTCTATTTCTAGATTTTCTATCCAGTCCTTTAATTTAATTTCCAAAAAGTAGCCTTTTCCAAATTTGCTCTTCAGATGCTGGACTGTCCCAATGCATCTATAGTAATTTTTAAAGAGAGTTCACATATAAAACTACTTAATAGTGTCAAAGAATGATTTCTCACTTAAAGAAATTATTTAAATGTTTCCCAGAAAACTCCAAAATTTATAGAAAAGTTACAAATGTAATACAGAATACCTTTATAGATCCCAGCCTCGTTTCATTTTGGCATATTTGTCCAAATTAAAAAATCAATACTAGTACCTTACTATTTTTGAATTTTACCAGTTTTTCCACTAATGTCCTTTTTCTGTCCCAGTCTCTACTCAGAACACCACACTGCAGTGACCATATGCCTGGTCTCCCCATAAGTCTCACTGTGAGCTTCTTACTCTTTATTTTTCACAACTTTGACAATTTGCAGAACTGGCCAGGCATTTTGATAGAAAGCTCCTCAATTCATAGGGTTCTGATGTTTCCTCATTTTTTAGGTGGAGTTGTGAGATTATGGACAAAACACTACAGAGTCAATGTACCTTCCTTATCACATGATTTCAGAGAGCACATGACCTTGTTTTGTTAAGGCTGAAGTTGCTGTGCTCCCCTTCCTGGACATTAGAAGAGACTTATGGAGTCCACATAATCCTTGGGAAGTGGGTTAGGCTTTCCCTCCTAGAGGGGCAGTATCTACATACATTGTTTAGAATTTTTCTTGGAAGGAAAATTTGTCTTATCTCTCACATTTATTTATTCAATGAATCATTTATTTAAACAAGTATGAATTCACATATATTTATTTTATATTTTGGGTTCTAACCCAATCTAATACCTAACAATATTTAGAAATAACAAATAATATGCTTGAAAATAACACTACAAGTTGTTGAATAATTAATTTTAAATACGAAGTAGCTAAATAGTCATTTTTTAGAGAAAAAAAATGTCCAAGTAATTCTATAAAAAGCTAACTCATTCAAAACTCAAATAAGGAAGCATTTTCTTAACATTTAAATTAATAGGATCAATTTTTGAAATGACGTGTTGAGACCGCAGGCCCTCCTTCCCGCCAGGAGCGCATTCAGACAGCTGTACCTTAACTGCCCTGACACCATGACAGCCACACGGTCACAGACAGCCTCTGCCTCCTCCATGTAGTGAGTGGTGAGCACAGCAGCCCGCTTTTTGTTTTTAAATGCAGTTCGAATTGCTCGCCTACAAAATATAAATAAAATAAAAAGAGAGGAAAGCAGTCGAGTTTTAATGACAATACCTGGGTAAAAAATTTTTTTGCTATTTAATTAGATTAAAATTTATCAAATATCAATTGCTATAGCTATAAGCTGCTGCAAAAATATTATTTTTTCTATTCTACTTCCTTAACTTTTGAAAGCTTGTCAAATGAACAGAAATTCTATGATTTTAAATGACTCAGTGCGCTAAAAATTGAATTATAAAAATTGATGCCTTTTATGTAAAAACAAAAGTAACCATAGAAATATAGGGAGATCTTCACAAGCATTTAAAACATTCAATAGACATGAAAGTCTATACTCAAAGGGCTAGACAACCAGCAAGCATCTGAATTCCCAGGAAGAATTGAAACATAAATTCAAGATAATACTATTATGAGAAAAGCAATTTATATGTCAAATCACCAGAAAAACAGCTTTTAAAAACTATTCAGCCAGTATTACCATTTTAATAATTACCTATACATTTTTGCTATGAAATACACTAATATCATTAATACTTCAAGAAAAAATATAAAGTTTTAAAAACTTTAAGGGAAAGTCTAGAAATTAAAGAGCTTCATTTTTAATTATTATTTTGTGTGTAGGGTTTTAAATACACATGTATATATGACTAATATAAAACCACTAGTTATAAAACATTCTTTTATTTAAAGTATGATACAGTATAGAGACTTTCGTGTAGTACTCACCACATATGCTGTTTTGCTTTAGGGTCCATACCTGTAGACGGCTCATCTAGCAGCGTAATCTGAGGATTCCCCAGCATACTCAGAGCAAAACACAACTAGAAGGAAAGAAAAGAGGAGCCAGAGTAACTATGAAGGACTGTCATGAGGAACTCTATCAAGACAGAGAGGCACTAAACTGTCAATAAAGCATTCAGATATTTGTCATTGAACAGCAGTACCTTTCGCTTGATTCCTGCAGGTAGTTTCTTTATAGTTTTCTGAAGATGTTCTTTTAAATCAAGTGCATTTGTTATTCTGCAAAACAATAGACAATAAAGAAAAGTATACCATGATGCAAAGAAATACAAATGTGTGAAGACTAACATTCTTTTTTATTAAGAGTATGCAGTTGAAACTTCTATAATTAGATCTCCTGTTTGGATCATCTTAAACAATTAATGTCTTGATGAAAAGCTTCACTTTAAATTAGTTTGATGGCAGTATTAGGTACATTCATTCATTAATTAGAAATACAAAAATTGCCTTTCATATTTATAGTTACTATGATTTGGTAAAGGATACATAACAAAAAGCAGTATTTGCTATAAAAATTCTGATCCATGGAAATGCCTGCTATAACATTTTTAAAATGCGAATATAAACCTTTTCCCAGGGAAACAAAAGGCTCTAAATTTTACCGATTTATGACTTCTTTCATGTCACTCGCACTCATTCCTTTCACAGCTCCGTAAATTTCAAAATGCTCCTGTAATGTAATGTCTGGCCACAGAGGATTTATCTGAGGACAGTATCCCATACACTTATTGGAATCATCACCATCCCTTGAGTCTGATGAATAATCTCCTAGAAATACCTACAGAAATACAATTTAATTTAACTAATTATTTTTGCTTAGCTTACACTATGGAGGAAGTGGCAAGTGGATTAATTCAAACTCATTCCTAAAGCTGGGGTAATTTAGGATCATAATTTTTAACTGCTTTTGATGAAGAAAGGACACACACAGCTAAGTGGGAGTTCAGTGACAGCAAAAACGGTGATTAGGAGCAAAGGGTGCATGTGAAGGGGATCCCAATTTTAACTAGGAGCATCAGGAGGCCGCACAAGAAGTTAGGATTTCAGGCAGAGAGTTAAGCAAATTTGGGCATATGGATTTCTAGGGGGTAAAAATAGCCAACATAAGAAATAGCTAAGGAAAAAAAAAAAAAGCAGAGAAAAGGGTGTATCTGATATTCTCTGAGAACACAAGGTGTGAAGTAAGCAAGCAAGGGAGAAGGAGCAGGAGACTGGATCCGAGCAGTTTTATGAAGTTCTTATGAACTGGTGAGTGATAGGCTTATAGTCAAAGACAATTTAATGGCAGGGTCCAGATTAGTTCCCTTTGCTCTGTTAGCTCACATAACTGTCTTCTACTATGGTGGTTGAAAGCATCCATAAATGTAATAATTATGAAAACAAAAATCTTGTGTATGTGTGTCAATATCACATTTTTACTGAGTACATCAAATTCACAGATAACCAAAAAAGATCATAATTTGATCAAGCTATCTTAAAACTTAACCCCCAAAACATATAAAACCAAAGCACTAAATTCCTAACATGCCATGACAAACTTATTTTAATTAAAAATATAAGTCATAGTGAACATATCCCACATCCTTGTTCATCATACCTGGCCTGAAGTTGGTTCAATATCACCAACCAGAAGGTTAATAATGGTGCTTTTGCCTGCACCATTTGGACCCAAGAGTCCTAAGATCTCTCCTAAAGGAATTGAAAGAAAAATCATCACATAAACCAAACTAAAAATACAAATTAAGTCTTCTGGAAATTAAGAAAAGGAATAATTAAACACCAGCCTTTTTTCACACAGAAAGAGACGTATTTAGTTGCCACTTTCTTTACTTTTCTTGTAAGAAGAAAATCTTTCTTGTCATCATACTCCTTATGCAAATTGCTGACCATAATGGCTGGTTTCTAATAAGGGAAACAGGATTGAGAAAGATATTTATAAATTAGAAACCATCATGAAATGGCAGCTGGTATATAACTCATGTCCATAACACAATAATTAATTTACAGATAAGGGGTACTGTATAAATACATATCCATTTATGACTGAAACAATGGCTTATTCTAAAGTGGACCAAATATTTTATCAAAGACAGACCTATTTTCAGACTGAATTGTATGGAAAGAAAACTATTTTTCCAGTTTAACTCCTGTGAGTGGGAAACTGATCACTGCTTGTCTAACATGATTTAGCAATACAGACCACATCACCTCCTCACAATACTGGCAGCTCATCAGCTCTTTGACCTTCAGTCTTTCAGCTTTGACATCTTCATCCTCATTCTCATTGATTGGTGGTTCTGGAAACTTCCTATGTTTGGATTTTGTTGAAAAGATCCTACATATAAAAAAAAACATAGTAGATTTTCTAACTTTACATAGTAGGCAAGTTAAGCACTATACAGAAAAAAAGACTGAAATATTTGTGTATGTGCCTTTTGTTATCTCTGAAAGAAGGAATTACAGAGCTATTTTTCACTTACTGCTATCGTTTGCATATTACCATATTCATTCATTTATTCAACAATATTATTTATGACCGTATGATTCAGGCACTATTTCACACAAAAATAAAAAGATGGGGAAAAAAGAGTGGAGCTTTCCCTCAAAGAATTTACAGCATGTATGCAAGTGGGATTGCCCAAGCAGAGCAGATCTAGAGGGCGGAAGTGAGAACCTATCAGAACATCACAAAAACAGGCAAAGAAAAAGAGCTGACACGGAAATTCTGAACTAGCAAGAGATCTAACAGCAAGTGCTATGGACAGAGGATCAGATTAAGAAGACAGGGTAGTATTCCTAATGCCATTCCTCGCAACATGGATGGAGCTGGAAGGGATTATGTTCAGTGAAATAAGTCAGAAGGGAAAAGAAAACTACTGAATGGTTTCACTTATAGGAAGAATACAAAAGATCAAGGAAAAAACAAACAAATCAACTACTACTGTCACTAGGCATGCAGCCGAAGTCTCTATGCTCTCAGGGGCTGTTCTGCCACTGCAGTGGCTGGGGTCACAGAGATGCTGCACTGCTAGTACATATCTTTCAGTAGTACTTACTGGAAAGCTACAGGAGAATACACCCTGTGCCGCTCTCCGGGATAAACTGAATAACTTCCTGAAATGGTGCAAGCCATTACCCACCTTCTAACTGTTCTCTCCTGCTTATCTTTCATTACAAGGGTACCTCAGCCATGAATATAGAAGGGTCAAAAGAAAATGATGTTTCCTCCCCAATGTGATGAGCATTTAAAAAACTGTGCTAAGTAAAAGAAGCCAAACAAACAAAAAAAGGACTACATATTACAATTTCATTCACAGAAAGGTTGAAATTGGCAAGCCTAGAGACAATGTAGATCTGCAATATTTAGGGCTGGATGGCATAGATGGAGAATGAGCAGGGGCAATGTTTCTTTGGGATTCGATGGAAGTGATCTAAAATCAAAATATACTGATAGTTGTACAACTCTAAATACACTAGAAAACATTAAATTTGAAAAATATCTTACTAACCTGAAAAAGGGATCCTTTCTTATTGACCTGCCTCCATGTTTTTTTTCATAGTACTGTAAGAGGAAAATCCACAGTACACACTGCAGATACGGCTAAAAGAACACATAACAGGTTATGACGCAATCTTTTTTCCATATGCCAAAAGAACAAAGACCCCATACATCAGCTTCCATGCCATTATCAGAAAAATTAATCACATCTTTTTTGGGTATGAGTTAATAAATTTTAATATAAGACAAGGTAGATTTTTAGTAAAATAACCCTTAACATATCATCCTAACTCTGTAAAGTTTACTGGTTAACAGTTTCATTAAAAACAACAACAAAAGGAGCCTCCCTGGGGCTGCAGGGGTTAGTCTCAGTTCCATCCAGCTCTCCACTGCCACTGTAGAACAAGTTCAATCCCTAGTCAGGGAGCTGACCCACATGATGCAGCAGACCTCTCCTGTTTACCCGCTGCTCCCCTCAGCAGTGGATTTCAGTCAATCCACCTGTTCTACTCCCTCCTTGGTCTCTGATGAAACCTCCCATCCCCTGCACCTCTGGCCTACATTCCAGTTATTGTGTACATAAATAAATAAGTAAATCCTTAAAAACAAAAAAGGCTTTGCTCTTGTATCTAAAGAAGTTAGTTATAATAAACTGAATTAATGATATGAAAAGACCTTGTATATTAAAGTGGACACAATCAATAAATGAAGGGTAGTATACTCAAAATGCTCACTAGCTTGCATTAAGTAACACACTTGATGAACCTTCATATTTTTGCAATAGATTAAAAGCTAAAAAGAGAGCTAAAATCATACACCCAAACTATGCCTAAGGTGATATGCTAACACACAAAAAAGTGTGTTGCTTCTTACCGCTATAACTGCCACCAGCAGTCTGTCCCATGGATTATAGATGACTCCATTATTTTGAATGCTCTTCCAAGAAATCTATGGCAAAAAATGATACTGTGATAAGATATTTGGTCTCTGATCCAAGTTCCTGACAAAGCTTCTAAAAACCTTTGAATTTCCCTGAGTGACAAAAATGATGGGAACATCTTCCATTACTTGAAAGAAACCTCTTTCAACCAAAGCCAAGGTTAGGTTAAAGTGGTAATTTTTAGAGGATGGGGTTCGAGGTTTAGAACTTTCTAAACCCCATTAGGGCCCATTAGGGAGGTGAGTGAGATTTGAAGACTGATGGACTTGTCCTCTCTAATTACTGAAACTTCCATAAAACCCTAAACACTTGGGGCCCTTCTATGAACTAATAATAACAAATGCAGTATTTCCCTGAGTTCATAGTAGTTTCATAACTAATAAAAAAAAAAAACAACAACAACAACAAAAAACCAGGGCCCTCCCTTGTGGCGCAGCGGGTTAAAGCACAGCACTGAGAAGCTTAAGCCACTTCTCCAGGAGTTCGATTCCCGCCTGCCCTGGAGGTGACCACATGGCGTGGCAGACCTCTCCTGACCCGCCCGCTGCTCCCCTCAGCAGTGTACTTCGTCGATCTGCCTGTTCTGCTCCCCACTCTGTCTATGGTGAATCCTCTCACCCTCCGCATCTCTGGCCTGTATCCCAGTTCTATATGAATAAATAAATAAATCTTAAAAAAAAAAACAAAAAACAGGCCCTAGTATCTAGGTGGGGTGCTGCCCAATTCATGAATCATTTAATAAAGTCTTAGATACCTAAATTCGTGGGCTTTAACAGACAAAAAAAAAAAAAAAAAAAAAGAAGAAGAAGAAGAAGAAGAAGAACCTAAGAAATACTGGGAACCTCGACTGGCAGCCAAGTCAGACAGAAATGTGGCTACCCTGGGGCCCTCTCCTTGCACTGTCACCTGCAGTGGGGACAGTCTTGTTGGACTAGTCTTTAACCCATGGGAGTGTCTGTTAACTCTGGGTAGTATCAGAATTGCTTTATAGGAAGGAACAAGCCTACAAATTTGTATCAAAAATTTTGAAAGTAATCTGCTTTAACTGCAATGTATAAAAATAACTAGATTAAAATAAAAGAAACACATTTGTTTATTAACATGTATTCTCTATAAATAAGTTTACAATTAGATTCTCCATCCCCAAATATTTCTATCAGGGAAGAAAAATAGTTAGCATATTAAACTGAAGCAAGACAGGGACAGAGGTAAGGAGATGTGTGAATCGAATTAATTAGCCATCACCCCAATTTAATAATTCATCACTCAATTTTTTTCCAATTACATAGGGTCTTTTTCCCAATTATCCAGATTTAATAAAACTAATCCAACTTTATCTCTCCTTGGGAAAAAATATCTTGTACTTTACCTCCTCTCATTTCTTTACAATGAAATACATAATCTTTGAAAACTCCTCCGAAATGAAGACTAGCTGAAGGGAGGTCCTATTGGTAATTTATGTACATCATCCTGGGCATCAAAGCCTATGGTGGACACAGTTCTCCTTTGAGACTTTAAGGTTTAAAGACATATTTGAAGAGTCCATATTTCAAACTATTGTATTAATAATCTTCATGTAGCTAACATGTCTGTTTTATCAGTTTCAGTACATGAACTAAGATCTCAAAAACTAGGCAGTATTTATGCTTTTCAGATATTAAAATATCTAGTAGACCTACCTTTATAAAACAAATCAGGCAACCCAGAAGTGGATAGATTGGAATGACTATGCAAAAGGTGTAATGAAGAATAACTGTAACTGTGTATCCCATAAAGAAAGTTATTTCAGTGATTGCAATACAAGCCAACGCTGTCTAAAGGAAAACAAAGGAGAAGACAGTGAAAAAAATGTTTAGATATTTCATACAAACTTACTTCGAAGTTTGGGCCTCAGGATTAACTTCTAATCTTTTATTAAAACACCAGGGCCTCCCTGGTGGTCTAGTGGTTGACTCTCAGCACAATCACCACTAAGACCTCAGTTCAATCCCCATCAGGGAGTGACCTACATGGCACAACAGACCTCTCCTGTCTGGCCCAGTATTCCCCTCAGCAGTGCATTTCAGTAGATCTGCCTGCTTCCCACTCTGTCTCTGGTGAATCTTCTCACCCCCCACAACTCTGAACCAAATTCCAGTTCTTGTACACACAAAAAAATAAAAAACAAACAACACGTAACCAGAGTGATACTACACTAGGAAGCATCAATACCTGGTACCAGTTTGCCATGCAGTTGTTAAATGCTTTCATTATCACCCTTTCATGAAATGAATGATGAGGAAAAGAAATACACATCAAAAAAGATGCTGCTGATCACCTAAACATTTCCTAGTCTTAGAAAAGACACAGTAATACCTTTAAGTGCCATGATGAAAGTTCATGACTTTCAAATCATAAAGTTTGGATGAAATAATTTTAAAATGTGACTTACCACAGAGTAGATAAATGACCAGAATTCTTTGGTATTTACAATTTTTCTAAAAGTGAAGGATGTAATATAAGTAAACAAAATAACTGATGGAACATAGCCAATAAGGCAAAAAACCTGTAAAACATCAATGCACATTTTTAGGTAAAAATATGAATAATTAGCAATATATATGATATAATACCAGTCATGTTAAAGTATCAAGGAATGACTATTCTTCAAATTTTACTGCTTAACAAAACACTACAAAAACTGAAATTGTGGTTATGTAGGAGTCACCATCCACAAATTTCTTAAAACCATGACACTTGTGATGTTTAACTAATTACTAACTCCATCAAGAAAAAAGTCAGTTAAATTAAACATTATTTGCCATTGTTTTTCATGCCAAGTAAAATACTATCTCTTGTTTTATTATAAAAACCACTGTAGCTGATTATAACTTTATTTTTGTCAATTAACTATTAGCTACAGTATTTAATGCATCTTTTAAATATTTACAGAAAATTGAATTTAAAGACAGAAATTAATTAGATCATGATGTCTATAAACTGATAAGTTTTATTTTTCAGCAAACCCAACCTCATTTGCTGTTTTCCCTTTTTCCTAATATAATCATTCATATGAAAGAACTTATTACAATGACTAACAAGTGATCATGAATGCAAATCATATGTTCCTTGGTTTAAGTCACATTTTAAATTATGCAGTGAAATAATTTCACTGTAAAATAATTTTCAGGTACAGAGACAAGGAAGACATTTTAAGGTAGGATTGTTTTAAGTTTTCCTGATTACTCTTTAGTAGGCAGTCTACATGAAAGACTATCTCAGTTTCAAGGAATTATTTCAGAATAGTATAAGGTATTGTCTTGAAAAATTACTTATAATAATATAAATTTCATTGATCACAGGTACCATGTAAAGTAATCAGATGCTAGTGAAAATAAATAATGTGCAAATTATTCAACTAGTCAATTGTCAGGTCTGTAAATACTTAATTCCTAAAATAACACTGTATTTATAAATAGCATAAGGACTTACCACAGAAAGGAACTTTACAGCATAAAAATATAATCCATAATGAAATGCAAATAAACTTGATAGCATCACAGTAAGAACAATAAAAAATAAGGGTATATCAATAATAGCTTGTCCAAGCCAATATGCAGATGGCAAGAGACCTGAAAGTTTAAGTTGAGTATAAGCTTTAATCTGAAAAAAAAAAAAAAAAACCGAAAATTTTGGTTATAACTTTAAAACAAATGAAACCCCCTAGAAAATTATTGTTGAATTCTTCATTTTATGTTAAGACAATAAATTGTGTCATATTCCAGGTAATAAAAGGCCTTCTTACAGCTAAATATAAATTCCATTTAGCCCAGTCTCCACTTCCTGACAGATAAAGTGTGCAACAGAAAACTTCACAATACTGTAAGCGTTAAAGAATGTAACTTTTAAAGCACATGGCAAGAACTCAATACATGTTATTTACTATCACTATAGTAAATTACAATTAATTAATTTACATTCTATTCATTTTTTCCTGAAATAATTATAATTATACTCATGCAAAGTAGGTTTTTTTATATGAGATTTCTTACCAACAAGATACCTGTAGCTTTTTTTCTGAGTCATTACCTTATGATTCTCTGCATTTTCCATGGCAAAATAAGGTGGCATTGCAGTAACAATGATTCCAAGTAAAGCTGCTTGAAAATACAGCTCGATTTTAAAAACTATGTCCTTAATTTCCTGAAAGAACCACAAAATAAGAAATGGGAATGAGGATCACTTTATATCGCCTTAATACTTTCTAAAAGACTATCAAGACCTCTGAGAAAATATTAGGATGTCTTAGCCAGGCACAGTCTACATGAAAAAAATGAGTGACAATATTAGACTGGCCGAATTATAGCACCAACTTTGTCATGTACAATCCTTGGCAAGCCAACACACTTCCATTTTTTATTTTATCTATAATATAAATTTAATTTCCTTCGCAAACCAATGCACTTCCATTTTTTATCTATAATAAATTAATTTAATTCAAAACAATAATGTGCATAAGTAGCCACTAACATGTCCACCAGTGGTCCTATGCAGAGACCATGATTATCTTTAACACTTCATTGGTTGCCTGGCCTATAAACAAACTGGCACCTTGGGGTTTCCTTTTTTCCCATTAAGAAAAGCTGCACCCAACCTCAGCTTCCTAGGGAAGAAAAGCTGCTTCTCTCCAGCAGTTGAATACCCTACAGAAATCCCACAGTCCCTAATGTTCCCATAATAGCTAATGTTCCCTGGCTGATCAAGGAAGCAGGTACAAACAGCAACCTTTTCCAAATTCAGACTACCCAAGACCAAGGGTACTGCACTGTCCCCAACAGTCAGCAAGGTCATCTTCTTCCCCTTGTAAGAACATATACCCACGAGATGCAGAAGATACTCTGCCCTAGAACAGTACCATACCCTAGAAAGTGCCCACATCATGTACAGCAGGCACCTGGGCCTGGCATAACTCTCAGGCATTTCTACCTTGTTGCATCTTTCAAATCTATTCACTTCTTACCAGAACTACTACCTTGTACCTTAGTTCAAGCTACATGGATTCTCATTTGAATTACTGTAACCACCTCCTACTGGTCTATAGTCTTCCGTGTCTATAGTGCTGACTTGCCACTTCATTCCATACAGGTAGCTTAATTGGCCTTTTCAAGCATCAATCATGCCAATTCTCAGCTTAAAAACATGTAGAAGTTCAAGTGATCTACTGAGAAAGGAGTTAAATTCCTTGAGGTAACTCTCCAGGCTTTTCGAAACCCGGCCTCTGTGGAGATCTTTAGCTTCATACCTTAGTCTTTCTCACTCTATTTATGTCTAATATATTTCTGGTGTGCTTTCCTTTCACTTTTGAATCTCTGGACTTGCTATTTCCTCTATCTAGACATTTCAGTTTCTAGTTGTTCTTCAATTCTTTCCTAGTTGCTTCCCCACCAACCCTCAAACTACAACTAGGTACACGCTAGCCATTCTCCCCATCTACTACCATCACTCCCACATTTATTTCTATTATGTAGAGCATTTTTTTTTTGACTGCTATACCCCTCACATTAGCAAAGGGTCTGACTACTGTAAAGACTTAATAAATGTGAATAAAGGAATATTAAGAGAAGTGAAAATTACTAGAAATTATGTAATTCCTCATCTTTGAATATGTATCAACCAAGGGTATTTTAAAACAGCTGACAAAGGATACAGGTACTACAGTGAGCAATAACATAACAGAAGTGTAAGGTTTTATAAAAATAGGGAGAAAGGAGAATAGAAAAGCCATTGTTGTAACTACGCATCCACAAATGTCTAAAGGCTTAGCAAAATGAGTGAAGGGTGTTACATGGCAGACAACAGAGTATAGGTAAGTACGTAAAGTAAAAAGAAGTTTGAGTGAGCAGAGTGCTAGGAGTCAAACATACAATGTTTAAAAAGTTGGTTATTGGTGTTTACAGAAAATAATTGTGACCACACACTAATTAAAACAATATAAGACATCTTATATAGCTACACACATTATTTTTTTAAGTTGCTTACTTGAAAGAATGGGGTATTCCAGACCTGGATGCTCTCAGTCACATTTTCACGATAAAGATAGTAGTTACTAATGATATTCATCAATACAGGTAAAGAATAAACCATAGTACTGTTGAAAATAGCTGAGAAAACATAGTCCTACAATTGAAAAAGAGAGACTTATGACATACCATGTATAGAAGGGCGAGAGGCACATTGCTATGTACCAATCTTTTCTTGTGACCTAAGCTAATTCTCATGAACCATAGTGAATCACAGAAATAGTAGATAAAGACAATCTGATATTGAATCTATAGACATTTTGCTATTTGAAAAAAAAAAGCATAAAGTCAAATTGAATTCCCTATAGTTTTATTATATATTGGTCATCCATCAGGACATAAAATATACAACAAATAATCCAGTTATTTCTAAAAGGAAATTCTATTTCCACCTGAAGTCAAATCAGCAAATGATTAATTTTAGAGGCAGTATCAATCCTTTACAACTTTTAAATGGGCATCCCCTCCCCTTCTCACCTTTTCTGAATTCATCACATTTAAAGCTGCACTATGAGGAGCAGCAGAGACATAGTCACTGTCATTAAACATCGTCACCATTATGTTCTGGTTTGTTAAAAAGTCAATAAGGTCACTGATATCTGAGTCTAGTATTGAAAAAAGCAAATAATATAATTAGTTTAACTGAGAAACAGACATAGGTTTGTGATGACATTAGAAAGAGGTCTCTCTTTATAAAGAAGCATTTCATCTTCATTAGATAAGACATAAATAAGAACACTGACTCTGGAGCCAATCACACTAGATTCACACCCAAGTGGATATATACATACAGGCCTTTGAGCAGAAACTGGCATACGTGTTTTAGCTGTTGCTACTACTATTACTGCTCACATTGAAAGTTTATCTATTACACTCACCTGAAAGTTTGTTAAATGGTGAGACTAAAAATCTACCTGCTAATTTTTTGTAACAAGACAAGTGCCTGACTCAGAAATGTAGAGGTGAGGGTGTGTAGGGTATGGAACAAACAAGTAAATGTCAGTTACCTTAACTGACTTAAAATATTAAAACACATGATCAGGTTTCCATTCACATGTAATCTTTAAACTGCTTGAAGTCAAGGGAATGATTTTAAAGACTGTTTTGAATTTCAGATTTTACCAATGTGTTCTATGAACATTTCCCTTCCATCTTCAAAAAAAGTGGGATTCAAGGACGATACAAACCATCATAACTGAGTATGGCAGAAGGGGTGTGACTCCACCCCAAACTTGAAAGTCAGAGAGTGGAGTTTTTGGTGAGGCCACAGATACTCCTAACCCAGTGCCTGCGTTAGATCTTAAGGAACAGTGAGACCTGTGCCACAAAAGCCTTACGAGGAGGGCAAGACACCACCCAGCACAGACCTAAGGAGGCCAGCACTGCCTGGTGGGAACATGGCTCTACTTAGAACCTACAACAAGGCCTCAGAAAATAAGAGATACATACACAACCCACTCTAGAAGTACTAAAATCAGCAAAAGAGACATCGCTTTGAAAATACTAGAATGTCTACAGATCAGTGAGGATGAACGCAAAACAGAAAGTTTGTCATTTATGTACAATTCTCCAACTGCAAAAAATGTTACACTATCCAAGCACAGTTTCATGCAGTACATTTTAGTAACATAATTAAATGTATTCCTCCTCCAATGTATACACTGACAGCCAGCTTTTAAGAGTTATGATTTTTAAGAGTAAATTAAAATAACCCCTAACTATGGTATTTCAACACGGGTCAAGACTCTGAAGTTAATAGTAAACCGAAAGAAAAGAAAATAGAATGTAGGTGAAGCATTAGAAAACAATCTACAGAGTTGATGAGCATAGAAAGGGTTACATGTCAGGCAACTTTCTAACACAGCTAGCAAGATAAACAAACAAGGTTGTTTTTGTTTTGCTGTGTATCTGCTAGTTAGATAACCTTGATTTATCTAAGAATCTGGGGACTACGAACTATCTGTACATATGGAGGATGTTAAAAGAACTGATTGTAAATGAATGAATTTTGTATAAGGTTTTAACATTTCAAAAACTAGTTTTTACCATTTGTGCCTTGCTTCTGGCCACATGAGTTTTAGTCTTCATATTTGACACTTACATAAGAATAACCAATAGCCAATCCAAAAACATTCGTTACAAATTTAAGATAGTTGATTATAAATATTTATATCTAAGGCCATCCACTTAATTCTACTAAACTTCTCAGTCTTCGAAGAATTGTTTAAATTAAACATATCTACTTAGATACACAACTGCATAAATACAACATGCTGTAACTCTTTCTGCAGAGGGTCTTTCAACTTCTGAAGTTTATTTTTGCTACTCAGACTTTGAGTGAGATGGCACATGATGACATTTTTTTGAAAGAGAAATTTTATTAAAATGTATACATTAGGCCATTTAAAAAAATTGTCACCTACAATTTAACCAGAATAATCACTTTTGTGACAATCAGTCAGCATCAATAAGCTATTTTATTTAAGTTATAGCTGAGCAGACATAGCAGCCTTTACCTTGCATTCTTTCTAAAGATCCAGACTTCTGGCCTATGTGTACCCTCAACCCTATACCCCAACCAACACACATTCACAGACCTTCACACACTCTCACCAGTAGAATTTTGAAGTAGAAGATCTGTTTTGTATTTGTCAGGCTTTTCTCCAGGCTTTAGGAAATATAAGTCTGGAACAAGTTTGACAGGAACCACAGCACTTTTAAAGGAGTGATGTACCAAAAACATAAAAATCTGAACTGCAAAAAATATCAAAAGCAGAAGCAGCCTAAAAGGGAAAGTAAAAAGCAATTCAAGGCACATCAGTATGTAAATTTGCTAAAACATCTTCCACCAAATGACAATTAAAATACTCATTAACAAACAAAAGTTCTTAGAATTCAAATTTCCATTCTCCCAAATGATTTTGTGACAAGGCTGGACAGGAAAGCAACATTCACTGACAACATTAATAGTTAAACAATTATGTCAACAGTAACCAGAGTCACTGTAACAGTTTGTACAGGTATGTAACTCTGGAGCCTCCATTTTTAAAGAACCAGAACTTATGTCGTATTTACATCTCATTACAGATATAAAGGTGTAATAATCCCCTCAGGGACAATTACTACTTCTATTCTGTTTACTCTCCACTGATTTTTAGAACACATGACACAAAAAATTTTAAACACAGAGAAGAAAATGAAAATATAGTACAACTTTGTGTGATTGATAGCTGATAATCCCTCCCCACATTAATTTCACTGTATACCACAGTTCTAGGGATCATCACTTATAGCTGGGCTAGGTCATAATTCTAAAACCTTCTTACTGTCTGGACGGCAGAATTTCTCTTATTTTGCAACTATCTCCATTTTAAGTGATAGGTGCCAGAACAAATGGGTAGACAGAGTTAGTTATCAGACTTGAGCATTTTATAATCTTCAGAAACTCAATAATATTTTAAAACCATTTTTAATTATAAATATGTCTAAACCAGCATTCCCAAAAGCATACTTTATTGAAATAAATCAATAAAGTTAATAGGTATCTTAGATTTAAAAAAAACTCATGATTAAATATTTGGAAGTCCCAGGTTAAACAAAGTTAAGCAATATCTTTATCATAAACAAAAAATAAACTTAAATACAATGACAGTAATTCAAAAACTACATAATTAGAGAATATTGTCACTGTCATTTTATACATGAGACTGAAATGTGACAATTTTTAAAAAGGCTCTAATAACATTTGATGAAATTACTATAAGCATAATTTTCTGACATCATGAAATTATAGTTGACCTTTCAAAACTATATAATCATTACATACCTGCATTTAAAAAAATGAGATGACTAATCTAAATTGAATTCTTAAAAAAAGTAGCTCATCTGGCAGAAGGTAATTATACTTACACACTTCTCACTGATTTACTTTCACGTTTCAAGTTAAGGATGTGAAACTTTGCTATTGTATACACCTGCTGTTTCCAAAGGCTCATGGTGCTCACTAGTGAAGCTTTGGTTTCAGAAAGAATAAGTAAGCTCTGCTCCATTTCATCAAAAGACTTTGAATCTATTTCTTCCTCTGGTGGCTGCTGAGTAAATACACTATAATCTATTTGTCAAAACAAAACAAAAAGTTAGGAAATTATGGTATATTCCTTAAGAAGATGAAAACTTCTATGAAGCAAGTACATGTTAATGAAGCATTCAGCCTTGTGGTGATGCAGGACAAATGGAATTCTCACATGCTTAAGATTATCATCAAAATTGAGCATATTCCTACCTTGTGACACAGAAATTCTCTACTAGATCTAATTCAACAGAGACATGTACATTGAACCACTGAAACATATAAGAACACCCATAAACTGGAAAGAATCTAAATGATTATCAACAGGTGACTGAATAAATAAGTTGGAAAATACCCCTATAATAATGTAAAACAATGAAAGTGAGCTACTGAACAGCTACAGTAGTCAGCTCAGCCAAGACCTCCAAGATACATCTAGGTTACTACCTCTCAAGACCACCCTATTATTCCACCATTAACAGCAAGTATCTCAGTTACATATTTATTCACCAGTTTATTTCTTCCCCTTTCCAAAAATTAAATTTCACATGCTTATATAAATATTTGTCTAGTTCACTTCTGTCTGATTCACTGCCTAAAATGTCCGTTGGTTTTGTTTTTACCTGCTTGGTCAATTTCTGCTTCAACTTCAAGCTTTAAGAATACATCTTCCAACGTTGTCATTGAGACACCATAAGAAATAACACCTAAATTTGAATGAGTATCTAGAGCAGAAAAGAGACCTAAAAAAAAAAAAAGAATTAAAGCGTGTTATGTAGTTAACCACAACAATCATAACTACTCCAAAAAAGGTATTAAAAACAATGTATGATTAATTTTACTCTGTGAGCCCAGTGGTTTTCAAGCTTTTAGTCTTGGGAGTCTTGAACATTCTTTTTTTATTTTATAAAGACATATTTTACATTATTCTGCATTTCGTGCATTTTCCCATCTCAGTTGTAATTCCCGTGGGCTTCTCACCACCACTTCACCCGTGTGCCATCACCATAGTCCCGTGTGCTCTTCCCACCCTCGTCTGACCTTGCTCCTCTTTCCTCCCCCATAGAATGTCCACTCATAGCAGAGTGTAAGGGATCAGCGGGAAAAAAAAAAAAAAAAAAAATATATATATATATATATATATGTTCATATAGTAATTGTAATAAAGTTTGTAATAAAGTAAAAATGAACATCAGCTAACAACTACAAACCAACAATAACCCTGAGTCTTAAGCATTTGCATAAACTAGTAAGTACTCCAAGGAATGTTTGTTTATAGAGAAACATAAGGTACTTATCATTATAAATAAGCATTAAGAAATACTTTACATAGAGAATAATAGGCAGGGCGCATTAAGTTCAATCCAGTTAATGATTTTAATGATTCTTTTTCTTTTATCTAGATTTAGATAGACAATTTCTACCTAACTATGAGACAGACACTCTGAGAATTAGGTGTACAGTATCTACATCAGTAATAGCCTTTTGGTTATTAAGAAATCCCCAAATAAAGGTGACAGAATTTGACTTCTTTAATCTAAACCAGGAAAATAATGCCACAATTAAAATAATTCAAGAGTTTATCATGCAGTCATGTAATTCATCATGGAATCATGAAACTGGAAAACAACTTGAAGACATACACAGACAATTCTATGTATATTAGTATGTGTATAAACATTACAACTTATTCCCAGAAGTCCAACAAGCAAATGGAATAATTTGTTTCCTTTACATAAAAGCAATACAATCATTAACATGCTAGTTAGATTTTCCTGAATGTTTTTTGTAATTTAAAAAGGAACATGTTATCTTGTATAAATAATTCTAGTTTTCACAAGCAAAACAAAGCAGAAAAAAAAAATTAACCCTGACATGTAGGGACATAGGTGATAATTTGTGTGATATTTATACACAGAAAGATAACAAGGTAAATCAAGAAAACCTATGCTCAATGTAAGATACTGGTTGAAAAACCAAGAAGCTGAAAGTAGGTAATACCTGAAAATTTGTCCATGTCCTTGAAAGGCAAGCTGTACACAAGCTGTTGGTCATTCTGTTGCAGTAAAGCAGCTCCAGGTATATGTTGTTCCACCAAGGAAGAAAGAGATTCTGTGGCACAGTATTTGTCCACATGCATACTAGAGAAAACCAAACAGCACCATTTTTTATGATTATTCAGTAAACAACCAAAAGTAAATTCTGAATGACTTACGTTTACACTAGGACCATAAAAAAATGACCAGAGCAATATGGCAAACCCTCATCTAATAACTATAGCTTAAGAATTTAATAAAGAATGAAACCAAGAGACAATGAATGATACCTCAGGCGGTAGCCAATTCCCCATTTACTTTTGAGAAACATTGAAGAGCCAACACATTTCAACATTCCTTGTGATATGACAGCTTTTCTATCTGCAAAGAGAGATTTGTTTTATTTTTTTAAGTTAATAACATCAATAGTAATTGTCATTACTATTATAGATCACTGTATGACACACCAGTGCATACAGCTCATTAACTAATCAGAACAACCTGTTGCGAAAGGCTCAAAATGAATTATTATCACTCATTTTTGAGATGAAAACACTGATGCAATGAGAAAATGTCAGTAGTCTTCTCTCATTTCACAGAGACATTAAATGACAAAGCAGGACCTGCACCCCTGCAGTCTTACTGTAGAGCACATCTTCGTAATGCTGCTCCAGGTATCTCAGACTCTTCCTAAGAGGCTTACTAATGCAAGGACTTTCAAAACTTCCTTTAAAGTCAAATGTAAAAATCACAACAAAAAGGTAACAAAAACAAAATATTAGTTTGCTGGTTTTTTTAAACAAGACACTACTGGAAAAAAATGACATGCCCACTTCATCAGAAGTTGCTATAGAATTACAAATGCTTTGAGCTAGTCAGTTATTAAAAATGATGTACTGGTTAAATTCAGCATTCCATATATGTATATGTGTTTAAAACTATGCAGAAAACAGTTAACATAGCAAGCCTTGGATTGCTTTTTATGACGAACAGTTTATTTCTCAGGATTTAGCAACTCTATGCCTAACCTCCCATTTGATGCAATAACTTAATTCTTCAAAAAATAAAAATCTCACCAGCAAGAATGTCAGCTTCATCCATGAAATGAGTACTAAACACTGTCACCCGGCTTGATTTTCTGTATTTTAGAAGATTCCAAACAATATGACGAGAACAGGGGTCCATTCCAGCTGTTGGCTCATCTAGCAATAGTATCTGTTTCAAAGGGGCAGAGACAAAGGACACAAAAACATTAATTCAAAAGGATACCTGCACCCTTATGCTTACTGCAGCTATTTTCAATAGCTAAGATACTGAACAATCCAAATATCCATTGAAATTTAACAATCATTTTCCACTGTATTTTCCCCAGCTCTTTCAAAGAAACAAAATATTGCAGATGTAACTAAAGGCTACCATTGCTCTTTCTAGATATAACCACTGTCATGAAGATGGCATCTTTCTGAACTCAGCTTTAATACCCTATTACTATAATTACATTCATAACAACATATAACTACAGCCTATTTTTTTAATTCAACAAAACTTGATGACACTAATATATTTTACCTTTGGATTCCCAAGAACAGCAATTCCTAATGACAGTTTTCTTTTTTGACCACCACTTAGCTTTTTGGCTTGGTTATCTTTGATAGCCTGCATGTCTAAATCCAGTAAAACCTTCTGCACCTATAAAAGTAAAGTGTGAACAATATTTTTGGAATTGTACCATTATATATAGTTTTAAAATGCCCTGATTTTAATATTAACTTGAAAATTGCTCTTTTACTGCAGAACTTAATTTTTACTTATATTCATACATAACTTTGAAATAACAAATGGAAGGGTTCCCGATGGAAAGGTCTGTTTTGCTTTTGTGACCTCCTGGGTAGTAGGGAAGGTCTGCACAAAGGTTCTATGTGTGTGTGGATGGAGAAGAGGAAGACAGGAGGGAGAAAGTAAAGGAAGAAGAAAAGAAAGAAATACCTTTACTGAGAGACTAGTATCCTACAGATGAAACAAGGACTATTTCATATGTGTTAAAACATAAATTCCATCTAACTTTTAAAACTGATATTCTGTCTACTGGTTCAGAGCAGGTTTTATGTGTGGATTGTCAACATATTTTCACTATACAAGATATTACAAAGATCATTAGTTTACAGGGAGCAAAAGTTGTCTGTATGAATAACATACTTCTTGTATTACATTATTGGCTGGTATTCCTTTGATTGAAGCCAAAATGGATAAGTTTTCTTCTACTGTCAAAACATCAAAGTGTATATCTAACTGTGGACAAATGCCGATCATTTTCCTTGCTTCAAACATTTCATCTATTTCTGAGACTCTGTGTCCATATATTGATGCAAACCCTAAAAGCAAAATATACATTTAAATTTCCATCAAATATATTAAGTACTAGAAAGTGCATATGCTTTAATATATACTGGTAATTCATTTTTTTTGCATGTTAGATATATGAGTTAATATAACATTAAAAGACAAACGTCATTACTACTGGTGGTCTTCTTCCAGTTATAGTCAAATCTCATTTACTCTTAGTTTCTCGTGATATTATATGATGGAAAGGGCAAGAAACTAGTAGCTTAACACTAAACAAATGATCTATCAGTGCATTAGTTACACTTCTATTCCAGAAGTAACTTTCTTTCATTTCAGGCATTATGTAATAATTAAGAGAACAAAGAACTAAAAATTTTCCCCTAACTAGTTGTGTGGTCTTAAGAAATTCACTTAATCTGAATTCCAGCTTTTCCCTTTTATAAACTATCTACTAATATATCCCACTTAAGATTTGTTAAATCAATTTGATAATGCATAGAGAACTGTCACAAGTATCTTAAGTTATTTTATAAATGTAAAATATCACTACTATGATTGAATAGTGACGTTGAGTAGGACAAGTAAAAATGAACAAATTTTGAAGGTGTTAGCATTCCTTTAAAAGATGCAAATACAGTATATGGACATTTGTTCCTTTTTCAAAGTAAAAAATTTATTGTACTGCCACCTATTTGGTTATGTTGAAATAACTGTGGAACTGTCAAACCATTCTCACCTTTATGACCATCATATATAACGTTTATATGCTAGGAGAACACAAACATCACTATTTTAGGAGACAGTGTTGACATTTATCATTCTTTTATTCCAAACTATTGTAATTAAAATCTTTTTATAGCTTCTCAACCTGAATTGTCTACTGATCTCAATTTCCAATTAATTACTGATTTATCCTTTGAAATGAAAAACACACATATACGTGCAAAATATCTGATAAAATAGCTACAAAATTAGATCCTTTCTACTTTACTAAACATGATTGAATCATTTTTTTATTGTCTATTGGAAAACATGTATATAGTCAAAAGAAGATACAGAAACTGGTCTCAAATCATTAAAAAATAATCACCAGGCCCTCCCTGGTGGTGCAGCGGGTTAAAGCACAGCACTGAGAAACTTAAGTCACTTCTGCATGAGATCAATCCCTGCCTTCCCTGGAGGAGATCCACATGGCGTGGCAGACCTCTCCTGACCCGCCCACTGCTCCCCTCAGCAGTGTACTTCGTCGATCTGCCTGTTCTGCTCCCCACTCTGTCTATGGTGAAGCCTCTCACCACCCCTGCACCTCTGGCCTGTACCCCAGTTCTGTATGAAGAAATGAATAAATCTTTAAAAAATAATAATTACCAGTACATACTTCAAGAATACATACTTTGGTTTATAACACTAATAAAACAAATATCTTTTTTTTTCCTGTTTAAATTAAATCAGAAAACTCTCACCATCAGAAGGTGGACATAATCCACAAAGAATATTCATCAGGGTAGTCTTTCCTGTTCCGCTGTGGCCAAGTAATGCAGTGATCTGACCTTCATATATGTCAAATGACAAATCTAGTTAAGGAAAAAGAATCAAATGCAATGTTTATTTTTGTTTAGCTATACAAGATAAGCCATCAGATGTGAGCAATCAGTAAATAAATCAGTAAGTTAAAAATAGATACAAGTTGTCAGCACATTTATCAGTTTAATATTTAATGTTATAGCATAATAATTCTTTGTGATAGTCAATATATGAGTAATAAGAGGAGTAATAAAATAAATTTCTATTTTTTGTTACATTAACAGATCTAGAGTGCACAAAATTTGATGGGAGCGGTTCTTCATACTCATTTTTGGGAATTTCCAAGGGTATTAAAACAAATAAAGAGACAATAAAAATTTGTTTCAAGTATATTTTTAGCCATGTTAAATATATTAGCATGAAACTAAAATTAACCTATTACATGGAAATAACAGTAAATACTTAAAAGGTCCTTTAAAAATAAAAGAAACATGGAATGAAAAACATAAACTGGATGGATGGGTCCATGACGAAAGGAAGACAGGGAAGGGATCTGAACAGCCAGTTTGAACATTTTCAACTTGCTTTTTCATTTGTATTTTAACATTATCAACTGATTTACTTGTGTGAGGAATACAAAGAAACAAAACAAACCCTTGGATTGGACTGCAGAACTGAGGTTATAGCACTGGGGTGAGATGGGAGGGTGCAGAGGGTGTGAAGGTGGTCAATGGAATGTGGTGGTTACTGGTATTTTGGCTGCATGCGAGTGTGGCGACATTCACATGTAGAGGTGTAAATCTATACCCTAAAATATGTAGTGTTGTAAACCAACATTACCTCAATAAAAAATAACTAATTTTAAAACTATAGTATGGATGGAATACTAGGAAAGCTACTTACTTCTCAAAGCCTCCACATTTTCGCCTTTCTTTCTGTAAGTCTTCTGGATACCACTGATTCTAAAAAACATTTTTGACTTTTTTTAAACAATTATTGTGTGTTTACTTGTATAAAATTTATAATAGCTGTAATTTTTAATAGGAATAATATCTTCCTAACAAAACTTACCGTAAGCCACGTTTGACAAATAATTACAAAATTATTTTCAAGAAAATACAAGTAAAAGTTTACAATTCTCCATTTTATGCTTCATTCATTTTTAAAACCAGCCAACTTCTACAAAGAAACTAAAGCAGGGCCTCCCTGGTGGTGCAGGGGTTAAGTCTCAGTGCTATGAAGCTATCTAAGACACTGTGGCAGGAGTTAGATCCCTGGGAGTGACCCTCAGGGCACAGCAGACCTCTCCTGCCTCCCAGTCAATCCCCTCAAGAGTGGATTTCAGTCAATCTGCCTGTTCTACTCCCCACTCTATGTCTGGTGAATCTAGTCAACTCCTGTATCTCTGCCTTATACCCCAGTTCTTATATGCATAAATAAATAAAATAAATCTTTAACCAAAAAAAGAAACTAAGCCAAGCAATTTACAGATTTCTTTCTATCTTTTATAGTTTTTGTTTGTAGTCAAATTCTTAATCAGTTAAGAGAGATTAAAATCCAAAAGCTATTTCATATCATTACATTTCAAACTGTCTGTAAATGTGAAGTGATTCTCTCATTTGGTTTTAACTGTTTTATATAACTACTTAAAGAATTAATGGCTTATTTAGTCAATTTGAATTTTACCCTTGGGAAGGCAGACTATCAGTTCACAATGATTATTACATCATATACTTATCTTAAGTAATAAAAAAAACTTATATTTCATTTTTTACATATTTCTTTTTGTTTCTCCTCTTTAGTACTTTCTTATTTTGTTTTTGACTCTCGAAACAAGGAATGGAAATAAAATTCTTTGGTTCTTAAATTTCAACATATTCCAGTTATGTCACAACTTATGGAATTAACAGAGGACAACTTAATACACTGTATAACTCAGACAATGTAGCCTGAATAAAACAATAATATAAATTCTTATTTTGTTTCAAGCTACTTAATGGAAAAAGTTTAAAACAGCTTATATAAACAATAGGTTTTATTAAGTCTTAAAATTTCCATTAAAAATAAAATTTTAGGCCTTCCCTGGTGGCGCAGCAGGTAAAAGCGCAGCACTAAGAAGCTTAAGCCACTTCCGCTAGAGTTCATCCCTGCCTGCTCTGGAGGTGACCACATGGCGTGGCAGACCTCTCCTTACCCGCCCGCTGCTCCCCTCTGCAGTATACTTCTTCGATCTGCCTGTTCTGCTCCCCACTCTGTCCCTGGTGAATCCTCTCACTCTCTGCATCTCTGGCCTGTACTGTTCTGCTCCCAACTCTGTCCCTGGTGAATCCTCTCACCCTCCGCATCTCTGGTCTGTACCCCATTTTGTATGAATAAATAAATAAATCTTTAAAAAATAAACAAATAAATAAAATTTCAAATCTAGCAGCAATTTTACTTTATTTTTTCAACAAAAATAAGAACTTACAAGGAAAGCAACATTTACTAGTTATTGTGAGCATCATGAAATACATACCAAATCTTTTAAGATACCATATTTATGAACACTATTTAAAATACAGGCCTTAGCATGGCAAATTCTACTATTTGCACATCCTATACCTAAATTGCAAGGTTAAACCATACCTAATGGCTTCTTTTCCTATAAATTCTGAAGAAACAGGCTCAACAATTTCACTGAAACTAATACTTCCATTAACATTGCCCTCTGATAACTCCTTATAGTTTCTTTTGCTCTTTGACCAATAAGAAGGCTTCAGAAAGTACAAAGATGACCTCCGTAAGCCAAATTCCCCTGAAAAATAAAAATACTGAGTTATCATGACAAATCATTTCTTAAAGCTAGTTTTTAAGTCATAAAAGCAATATGTGAAGCATATGACAGCCTTCTTTTAACACTCGGATAGCAAATACTGTCTAATGTTACAGGAGAAACAGCTTGATTGACAAATAGTTTCTGAATTGCTCAGGGGGCCCTGGAATGTAAAGGTGAGTAAAATGCATTTTCTGTTCCCAAAGAACTTGCATCTTTAGGGGTACATATACATACCAAGTGGTTAGACATAATACAGAACATAAGACATATATATAATACATACTGTTATAAAAATTCAAAAAATGAAGTTTATACTGGAAAAGGTCTAAATGAGGGTCATTTTAGGTAGTATTTGAAAACAGGGAACTTTTAGAAACATAGTTCATAGAGAATTAGGATTAGGGTTAGAATTAGAATTAGAATTAGGAGGGTAACACAGCAGCAGAACAGACACAGGAGGCAGATAAGGAGATAGTGACAGATGCCCATGCTGTGTATTTCCATCTTCCTCTTCCCCCCCAAAAAACAATACTTGTCATTTTTTAAATGTCTACATGGCCACATACCTCAAAGAGATCTGATCCCAACGACACAGAAAATTCTCACGACTGTAACCAGCATTTGCATGTTCTGTTAACTGCTGGTCCAGTCATGAGCATGTAAAACAATCAGACAGCAGCAACAGGCTTAGCTGGGGAAAGACTCATCCTCCCTCTTTTAATGGACATAAACAAAGAAGGGTAACATCTTGCAGTTTCAAAGAGAGCAAAATTGCCAGACCCTGAGACAAAAGTGGCAAAAACATCAAGAAAGCACGTTCCCTTGTGAGACAGTTTTCAAGTCAACGGACTTAGGGCCTATCATTTCTTTGGACTTCCTTTTAAGTAAGATGATTGCTCATTTGTTTAAGCCATTTAGAAAGACTTCCTGTTATGAGTAGCTGACACACTGGAAATGTGTTTATTAAGTGGGCAAATAGGACAGTTCTGATAGACATTTAATGTAATAAAGAGGAAAGAGGTAAGGAGAAATTAAAACTATAAAAGTAAGGTGGAGGACATCAATACATAATAGATTTCTACTTAATTCACCAGGTTTTGACCAGACAGCCTTCTGAGCAGATAACTATCTTGAGTAAAAGGAAAGCTGAATTTCTTAGATTTGAGGAACCACCAATGAGAGGTTACTGCAATGGTCCACGCTAGTGTTGCCCATTAGAACTCTGCAATCAGGGAAATGTCTTATCTCTGCAATGTACAGTTTGGTAACTAATAGTCAGATGTATCTTGAACTACTGAGGAAAGTAATTCACTAATTCTAATTAATTCAAATTCTAAAAGCTACATGTCTCTAGCAGTTACTACATAAGACACTGCAGATTCAAAATGTAGGCAAAAGTAATGAGAAACTCAAGGGGTAAAAAAAGGAGGTGTATTGGATATTTAATACTGTTTTGAAGCTACAGGAACTGGCCTGATAGGAAATGAGGAGAATAAGAGGGATTACAAGATTACTTCATAGTTTTGTAACTTAGAGAATGAAATAATGAAACCCTTTAAATAAAAAGTATTGACACAGGGAAGGACTAAGAAGTTTGCTTAGGGACTGAAGGTTTTCAAAACAAACTTCTTTCTTTTCACATAATCTTAAGTTCACTAAATGTTTAAGCATTAGATATATAAAATAAACCTATTTTAAATTTAAAATCCTAATAATAAATATGACTTATGGTACTCTGGCTAGAAAAAATAATTAAGATCCACTTGACACTATATGGGCAAAAAAATTAAAATTCTCTAATGTAAAATGCAATACCTTCATACCTGGAATGACTTGATCAAGATATACAGCCAAGAGGACATAGAATGCACTACTAAGTGCTAGCATGATAATAGCAATAATCAGAGGATATGGGCCTTCGGTCAAATTAGAAAATACAGCACCTTCATTAAAATCTTCTAAGTGCATGACCTAAAAAAACATAGAAACATCAATTTATTATAAAAAATGGTAAAAATAAGCAGACGCTAACACTAATTATGGTAATATAGCCAGACTGTCAGTAACCAACTGGGTCTTTTAACAAACTAAACAATCCACCACTTATAAAGAAAACAATACAACTTTACTAAGTTTATCACAACAATCATGTTTATAATTCTTGCTTCCAAAAGTAATATACATTCACTCCTGGAGCATTTGTTTCAATGCTATTATTAATGCTAACTAGTGCAAATAAAAGACTTATGGTCCACATGGAAATCAAACAAATTGCTGGAGAATAAAATTATGGTCAGTATTTTTTCAACGCTGAAGAAGGAAAAGGTTCTCTGGCTAATTAAGACAATTACTCAGATTCTTCATAGCAGATATACGTGAGAGGGTAGAAAGATTTATATATTGGACACTGAAACCTCATTCAGGTCCCAGATCTCTCATTAACTCAATAAACTATAACTGCACCATACTGGATTTCAAAAATCTTCATCGGTGAAAGGAGATGTATTAAGTAACACTTGGAGTTCCTCTACTTGATAACAAAAGCCTGACTACCTTTAGGTCTGCATTCCTAAGTGGAAGGTAACTCAGTGGATTCTCAAAATGTGTAACAGTTCTTAAGTTGCAATTAAAGTTTGTTTAACTCAATATTCATTAACAACCTGTCTTAAGTCTCACAACCAAAAGAATTCTATTGTGTCAAAATGAATAATCTCTTACATTAAGTAACATTAAATAATTACATTTTCCTTTATACATTAACCAAATTTAAATTCTATTATATAAAGTAGTTTCTTGTATGAGTTTTCCCCTTAGAACCTGACTGCCCCTGTAGAAAGCAATAATAATTACATTTATAAATCTAATTATGATTTAAATGAATGATAATCTCATCAATCCTCAACCAATAAAACCCACCAGATCTATTTATTTCACTACTATAGTCATAAAAACTTTCTGACTCACAATTTTCTATCAGACATACATATAAATTTACTTGTAACCAAGCCACAGAGTAATATAGATTACCTGATGCTTAAACCAATGATTTAACAAACTTGTGGTGAAACAATTAACTGAGATACAGTTAAGTAAAAGGTGAAGAATTTATCATGTAAATGTAAAAACTTAAAAATGGCAAAGTATAAATGAAACCAATGTCAAATCTACTCTAGCTCTCTAATATTTGTTTCTTAAGTAGAAATTTTCAAATGATATTTTTGCAAATCAAAGAAAGTATCAATGGTTGTGTGATATACTGCCTGGAATTAAAAAGTATTTAGTGACAAGATAAACGTATTACCTACCTGTGCAATACCAATTAAAAAAGTACACTGACAGAAGGGACTGAACAGCCACACTAGTGACTTAGGAAAATTTTCCATGAGGACTATCAAAAGACCAACAAATCCAAAAGCCACAGTGACTAAAAATTCAACTATTCCCACATGTTTTGATTTTTTAAAAAGGGGTGTCAGCATTAAAGCAAAAAATACCTATAAAATACAAATATTAAGATTAGTGCAACATTCATATACACTGGTATGAAATCAAATTTTGCTTGTAAAAGAACACATTTGCACATAAAATATCTCATTAAAAAATTCTAAATGGGATAGTAAGATACAAATAGTAATGAATAAATACTGAAAACTACATCTTATCTACACAATAGGCATATACTACAACAACCATAAAGTGTTTCTACAGTTAGAGGTGTGTATATATATGTCAAATGGTAAATCAAAGCTTTAAAATAACAGAATATAATGTCTTTTAAAGATAATGCGTTGATAAGCTATAAAACCAGTTAAAAACCAGGCAAGTCATGTAGAAGTGTATGAGTACTTTGTAAGCGATCACGTGACAGAGCAGGGTTTGTTGTCGAAGTATTTAACAGCTGGGACAGCACAGGCACCAAGGCAAATCAGGAGGGACATTGGAACCACCTGAAACAGGCTAGTCACTAACCGCAAGCATCCGGTCAGATACCAAACCAGTATCAACAGTAGCTTCACTAACAAAGAACTGTGTTTATAAAGAAACACCTTTACCTATCATCACCCTGTGGCATAAAAAATCTGAAGTAGGAATTTATGAAAACAAAGGGGGAAAAAACCTAGTACTGGACAAGCTTGGCAGGCAGCTCTGCTCACCCCTGTATCACCCACGCACCTCACTGGACCATCTGAACTACACATACTCGTATATGAAAATAGTAGAAAGATAGACTCAAAGGAATTGTATGTGAAACACACCATATGAAAACAAGTTAACTGAAACTTGAAGCTATTTGGTATCTTATCAAATAATATGAAGGTACTGTAATGCTATCAAGTAAATTTGTCTTTCATGAGAAATCAATTATGAGTAAATCAAGACTCTCTTCGTTAATCAAATATCTTGACTGTTCTTTATAATCATTTTCAAGTTAAAATACTTACAGATGATAACCCATACAAGAAGAAAAGTAGAAAGATGACAACACAGCTACTCTGAGGAAACAATGAAGAAGCTGTTGCAATGACTGCCATAATGAGAGACATAAGAAAAATCAAACTTGTATATAGAAGAACCCAGGAAAGCCTAAAATGACAATAAAGATACATATTTTTGGGTCAAATGCATAAACTTTATAAACTTTAAACAGTTAAGAAAAATCACTTTAAATAAAACTACACTACTTTTGCTATTTCATTCTTAAAATTAGGTTAATCCATTAACTTCTGTATATGCACATGTACTGAAAGTGAACACTTAAAAGTTTTACAGTTTCGGTTATGTTATACGTAAACTTACTTAGATATAGATATAGTATATAAGTATATATCTTATACACACAGATATATATATACATATATATATATGATGTATATATATGATGATAATACAAATTGATAGTAGTAATCCATGATAAATTGAAATCTAATAGTCTTTTGAAAGTTCAATAATATACACCACTACTGATTTTAAAATACATAAAAAAATATAGTAAGAATTTTCTTCATGGCATGTGCTATAATCAAGCTTTTGACAACTTTTGGTGCTACAAATAATACAAGGTTCCTCACTAATCAACACTGTAGTAACTATATTTCTACAATGCAAGGTCAAGATCAACAATGAATTCACTAAATTTTCTCAAAACAAAGCTTAATGAAATTGCTACAGCAATTAGTTTTCTTTTTAAGGCTAGAAGATTATGATATAATTTTCCCTGTGTTTGGGGGTATGCATATGTATGTGTATGTAGGTGTGTGTATACATACATATGCACACACACACACACACCCCTAAATTATTAAAATTGAATCCATTATTATAGAGGCAAAAATGAAGCACCGAGAGATTGATATGCCTAAATTCTCCAAGTTACAATTTCCTCACAAAATACTTTATAACACCATATATCTTAAAAAAAAATTATCACTACAAAAACAAAATGAGGGGAAAATGAGCAACAAAAATGTTATATACACAATGCTCCCTTTATGTAAAGTGTTATAATTAGTTGTTACAATGGGCTTAATGAAATAAAGTTTTGTTAAGTGAACTATAATGGCAATTCACATGCACACTATTAATTTTTTCCCCAAAATGAGGGAAAAATAAATTATCTTACTGCACAGAGGGAAGTTAAGGATAATATAATTATTTATAAAACTACATACATGCCTCTACAAAATTACCATTGTGTAATAATGCTAATGCATTAAAACATTCATGTGCAAAAAAAAAATTGTGAATTCTGTCTTAATTCACACAAAAAAAACCTATTTCCAGAAAAAGAAAGCCTGCATTCCACATACACACACACACTTGAATAATTTAAACAAAAATTTTAATAAGACATCTTGTGTTATGATATTAGGGGAGACTGTAACAGGCAACTAATTTTTACTTTTCAAGGTTTTGTATTTTCTTAACACTAATATATATTCTGAAGTGCATGGAACACATCTCAGTGATTCAAAACAAAAAAAAACAGAAATAAAAGTTTAACATGTAAAATAAAGATGAGCTTTCCAACTCCAACTTCCCTCAAACAAGTAAATGCTGAAGCCTGTTAACTAGTCTCATATTTAAAACCAATGTCAATCATTTTAAGAAAACAGGATCAGCACCTTATCAAATCAGATGGATAACAAAATGACATTTCTTAAGATTTGTACATTTAACGTAATTATTAATTATACTAAGCAATAAACTTTTAATAACATACCAAAAGGCAGTGTCATGGAGTCCCATTATCTTTAAAAACTCTTTTAACTTTTTCTCTTTTTCTGCTACAATATGAATTGCCAGAAAGTATCCAAAAGGTGAAAATGCTATAACTAGGTATATTAAAATTACTCCTCGGGGAAAGGTATCTATTTCTACAACAGCAGTTTCTCCCATAATAACAGCTTTAGTTGACTCCAGCTCCTTCCAAAGAGAAACATTGGTCTTCAACTATAATTAGAAAATGTAAATACATTCAATTAATTTAGTTCTGATAGTAGCCCCTAATAAAATGTGACAATCGTAACCAAACTTTAAATAGTAACCTAGCACAAAATAGAAATCCCCTAAAACACCTAAAATAAAGCTGTACTGTGATCCCAGCATCATGGTAGAGAGTTGAGTAATGCTTTTATTCACTTTGGAAGCATACATAAAGGTTAAAATCTAAAGTTGGAAAGTGTAAATTTTGATTAAGTAATTTATCAAAGCGCATACAGCTGCACAATTATCGTCTTAAGCATACAATTAGATGTATCTTAACAAAAATAGGCATGTATAAAACTGAGGAAGAAATGAGTATTAGTGCCATGAAAGAATGCCTTGTTAAAAATGTTAAGTAGCATGTCCTATTTTTTTAATCTTTGCAGCATGTACAGATAAAACAATAAAACTATGTACACCGTATGAAACTATTAAAGGTCAATGGGATTTCTAAATGAGGTTTGCTCTACTTCAGCCAGTGTGTTCTGGGTTGTGGATTGCTGTCTTCAGCCAAAATACAAATAAGTACAATGAGATCATCAACCTGACATGTCTTAGAGTTCACTGCCTTTATCTTAAACTTTTGTTAATAAATTTTTATATTAACCTGTCTATAGTACAGTTATATTGGAAATTTCTACAATTCAATATATATCATCTCATTTGGCTTTTATAACCTTGTCAAGAAAAGCAGTATTTATTGTAGCCATTTTACTACATTACTAATTTACAACTAACAGAAATAAGTCTCTTTGAGGTGTCCTTTTTATTTCTACCAAAAGGTGAAACAAAAGGTCAGATCTAACCATGTCTTTGAAATATCTGTAACATTTATACACAATCCTAGTGGCATTACAGTAGTGAAATACACATTCAAGAGATGGTAGTTGACAAATAAGTGATAAATCTGTGTCAAATTTAAAAAATCTACAATTATAATTAAGAAAATATCGTCCCTTTTTCCAAGCTACTTTTAATAATAAAGGAAAAAAGTCAGCAAAATAAATCTTTCATAATATTACCTATGGTCAGCATAGATAAAATAATACCAAGAGTGAGAATACTGAATCATATGCCATTAACAAAGGTTTTAAAAGATATTGAGAAAATGTGACTTTACCTTTGTTCTTTGTAATAAGTTATATATTTTGTATGTTGGGCAACAGTCATGCTAATTCCATTATAAAATTCTATTAGGGTTTAATGTTTAAAATATGGTGACTTTATTTTTCTCACTTGCTCATACTTACCTGTATAATGGCAGCATCTATGGATGCTTGTAAAACTGTGAACCCAGAGGACCAGTACTGAGCAGCCTCACATGATTTTGAACAGCCAGCTAAGGAGGAAAAACTAGAGTTACTAGATTTTGCACAGCATCAAAGTGCTTTCTTTTAAAGATATCATATGGAGAGTTACTAAAGTTAAATAACTAATCAATATCTATTGAATCAAAGAAAATAAGTTACTGCCCATATTGATATGAGAAACAATATCCATAGCACTGAAGTTTTTTGAGTAAGAGTTACATTTGTTATGGTGTTGAATGGTGAATGGATACAAATGAAAAGAAAGTTCATTTCTTTTAATAAACACAGTTTAATTAAAACAAGTCATTTTTCTGTATTAAGGTCATACTATAATGATTTGCCAGTTTAAAAGTACTTCCAGTCCAATTAAAAGAACAAAAAAAAATTCTCTAATTGGTTTATGGAATCAGTACTTAGCATGGTGACTTCAACGTTACTTAATAAAGATTTGTGGCTCATAATATCTCTTCAACTGTTTAAGAATTGAAGGATACATTCCATGTCTTAAATATAAAATTAATAGATTTGAATTGGTGGAAGATCTTGAGATTTTAAAGATATGTATGTGACAAGATTGAGAAAGTCATATAATTCAAGATACCATTCATTTTGCTTTGTTACTGTAATCAAAATAATAATGTATATAAAAATAAAATAAGCACACAAATATTATATTACATGTAGACATATATTTTGTTGTGCTTGACATTTTTTTATCTGCATAAGTATAGATGAATATGCCAATGTTGTGTCTCATCAAATTCTACATATAAACTATAAGCACAAAGACACACATTTAATTGATTTTCAATTAGTATTGAGGGCTGTTTACCTCTTGAATCCATATAAATAGAAGATACTGGAATTATATCAGGGAAAAAACGGAGTTCATAGGACATGAAGTCTTTGAAAACCACACCGACAAAGTTGCTGGACTTAGAAAGACTGGACGCTATCAACTCATTTTCAGTTGTATATTCTTCAGTAACTATAACTGTAAAATATGGTAAGAATGTAGTTAATTCACAGATTGAAATAGTTTACTACAACACACCAAATTTAGCATTATATCTGATGAGTCAGTATTTCATAAGTACTTTTGTTTTATTCCCTAACTTATAGAAAACGACTACTAAATAATGAAATGTGAAAGAACTGACTATTACACACACTATTTTGCAGCTGTCACTTGATTACATAGTCAGTATAATGCATTATTAATATATTTCAGTATAGCATAAACGTTATTGCAGAAATGAAGTTCATTTATCTATGTTGAAGAATTGTAAACAGTTTCTTGATATTTTATTTTCATATACTTTTTGAAGAAAATTCCACACTACTCTGAAATTAAAAATGTAACTATGACACAACTATTCTTTGAATAAAAATTTCCTGTTTGTTCCTTACCTAGAAGGTACATATAAGGGAAAAAAATACTGCTATCATAGTTGAGCTTCCTTTCACATTAGATAATTGTAATTTTAAAATATTTTCATTAACTTTTGTTTACAAGCAATTCATTTTCACCACTAGTCTTGGAACATGTGAGGAATGGAAATTAAGATTAGTATTTCTCAAAATCTGTGATCAGTTTTTTGAGCTAGCATGCTAAATTCTTATCACTGTCTAAGCTACTATATTTAATACAATAAATCAGAAAACATTTTTATATACCAATAAAATATGTGTTTGATAAAAATATTAAACAGTAATATGGGGGTAAAATTTATTTGGCTCCTGATTACATAGACATCATCTATTTAGTGATGCATTATACAAAAATGTGCTGATACATACTAGGAACTAATTACAACTATTCTATATGACAAAGTAACATGTAAAACTGTTATTTCCCACAATTCAGCACTTCCTCAGGTCAACTGTCATGGTACAAAAATTTCTGTCACTTCTTCCAGTTTTTGCCTCAAGTTCTCTCAGACCTCAGTTCCTTTGGGCTCAGTAGTGCCTCACTGCTTACACAGATTTTCAGTCCATTTCTTTGTGAAAAACACTTAGGTACTTAGTTGCAATCGTAGTCTCTAAACCTAAGTACCTCTTCAGGAGACAACATGTATCTCCATAAGCAGGTACTATAGTCTGGTAAGATTATTGTTCTATAATCTTTATCATATATTTCTAGCGTATTAATTATTAAAAGTAGTCAAAATGAAATATACCTTCAAATCATTTATTCTATACAGATATATTTATGACAAACAGAAAGTATTTAAACATATAAAATATGCTTCCTATCACCAAGTTTGTAAGATTTCATTAGAAACATGAAAGCATAATTAAATAATTTTAGTATTTTTATAAAACCATACTTTTGTGAAGGAACATGCCTCTAAACATTAAAAAGGTGATTTATTTAATAAAGCGAACAGAAAAAACAATGAAGAGGCTGTCTGATATAAACTGTGTAAGTCACAGTACCATCTGACAGGTGCTCTGTAGAAACCATCTGCATGATGTTTCTTGTAACATTAGTCACTGGAGTGTAACCAAGAATTAGGTGTGCAATGAGGGATTTGTCCATAGGGTTAAGTTCCATATCAGGCACTTCTTCGTATTTCTTATTCGGATGCATCATGCTAATTAATATTAACCAAAACAAAAAAAATAGTGGAAAAAGAATTTCCTAGAGTAAAGGAAACAGACAAAATATGACAAAGTATAATGATGGTGGCAAAAATCATCAGGATTTCTATGTAAATAATGTAACACTAAGAAAAAACATGAAGAATTTGCACTTAATTACCTAAACCAACAAGTATACTACATCATTTGTCCTATACACTCAGTTTTACTGAACTATTTAAAAATTCAAGTTATATAATAAAGTTAAATGACATAACAGCTAATATCAAACATCTTAGGTTAGTAATATAAATATAATAATAAATTTATTCATGCATTACTTTATATGTTAATATTTTATTGATTTATATTTATTTCTGCTTAAATACAAAGTTTGTACCTAGTTTCATAAATATTTAACTGAAGTAAATTACCAAATATCCCTAGTAGGGATCATGATAAAATTTCTTTATTCAATTATGAATTACAACATCCTTTAATTATACTTATATTTTCCTATTAAATCTCAACTGTGGTAAATTAGTTTGCTTTAGGAGTAATAAATTATTATTTCATACTGCTTTTTAATTGCTGCTGGTTTTAAGAGAAGATGAATAATTTTCTTTCATCCTTTGAAATTATTATGAACTGATTAGTTATTGTTTGTTCTTTCTTCTACTTTTAAAAGTAACATTTGCTTATAGGTACAAATATGTGAGGTATTTTAGTAATCTTGAGCAATTCAATCCTCACTCCAAAAAAATGGGAGTCGTGGGGAGGGAAGTGTGGAATAATGTTTAACGAAGCTCTCTGGAGAATGTGGCAAATTGGGAAATGTATGCCTAAAAGTTCAAATTTAACATTAGGAATTAATTTTTTTAATTTAACTAAATTTAGAAATCATGAAAATCTGTAACACTTAGAAAAACATTAGGTAATCTGCATGCTTTTCTGAGGCTAGTGTAAGATTTTATTCAACAAGAAAACTAAAGGGACCTATGGATATAAAAGATAATAAATGTGTAGCAGCAAAATAAGTCATCTCTTAAATATGGAACACAGCAAAAACTATAACAAGGCACAAGGAAGAGCATTTAACTTACCTGAACACTACTTTTTTTAGTCCTGCATTTAATTAGATAATTCTTCAGTAGGAGTGTTCTGGTCTGCCTCCAAACTCCCACCTCTCTAATTGCTGTAGCCATTTCTTCTGGATCAGTCTATTAAAAGGGGAGTTAAAAGAAACAAAAAACGGGAACCACACGTAAGGCACACACCATTATTGACAGTACCAACAGACAAAAATTTCAGTCTCTGGCTAAATGTAGTAACACATGCTCTAAGCTGTCTCCAACTGAACAAATTGCAGGAAACACCAAGTTGAGAACCCAAGGAGTAAAGAGTAGCATGAGAAACAAGCCGGGAAACCACAGTTCAAAATGCCATTCTACCTGAACTTACGCCACTTTCCCTTTCTGCACCCCCTAAATGAATGTGCTGGAGGCAGAGACGCAGGCACAAAGAGAGCTCTGGTGTAGGCTATGCTACCCATGCTCCAGATGCTCTCTAGTTGAGGTTTGAGGAGAAAGAAAACAAAGGCTTCTTCTCAGGGAGAATGTAGAAGTAACCCAGTTGTTGTTTTTTCTATATTATCCTGTGCTGCTGTACCCAAACAATATCATGCAGCAGCGCCAGAGTGCAGCAATGAAAGTTTAATGCAGCCAAAACTCTGAGACAGATGGAAGTTGTTCTCAGTTAAGTGGAACCATGATTGCAAGCGGAAGAGACTGCAAATCCCACTGCTTTTATCTCCACCTCCTGTACTGGGGCCCTGAACGTTGTGGATTCAGTTGCAGAAGTATGTTATTCAATAGGGCATATAAATCTTAATTTCTGGCTACTAGATGGAAAAGAGAAACTGCAGGGAATCAGAAAGTAGCAAAAATAACAAATAAAAAGAGAAGCTCAGGAACACAAGCCAGTAAAATTGTTTATTAACTCGTGAATTTATGCCCAAGCTGGGCATTCATAGAGCTAATTTTTTTTCTGTGCATCAGAGACCTGAGAAACTGAGCTAACTGACCACTGCCCAGATCCAGATTGGTCACTGGGTGGCACATACAGAACAGGCTCAAATTGTACTGCAAAGACTTGCAAACTAACCTGGAATTCGAACCACAGCTCAAAGAATAGGAATGGGAACTGAATTGAATATAATCAGGTTGACAGAATAGTGCAATAAAAGAAAATAACATTCTCCATAGTATCAGAATCTCATGTAACCCACCTTCAGTAAATGAAGCATGTGAGAAATATTAACTGTATTAAGTAAAGAAAATCAACAGATTCTAGTGCTAAGATGATGGAGATTTGTAATCATCTGACACAAATTTTAAAGCAGCTACTTTAAGAAAGTGCTCCAGCAAAAATTGGTAAACCGTATTAAAACTGTAAAAAATAGAAAATTGCTGCCAGGAAAGTAGCACCAAATAGAATTTACAACAACAACAACAAAAAAAACAATGCAGTAAAGTTCATGTAGTGGGTTCAAAAGCAGAATGAAAACAATAGAAAAGGCAGTGAACTTAAAGATACAGTAATAGGGCCCTCCCTGGTGGCGCAGCAGGTTAGCACTAAGAAGCTTAAGCCACTTTCGCATGAGTTCGATCCCCGCCTGCCCCGGAGGTGACCACATGGTGTGGCAGACTCTCCTGACCCGCCCGCTGCTCCCCTCAGCAGTGTACTTCATCGATCTGCCTGTTCTGCTCCCCACTCTGTCCCTGGTGAATCCTCTCACCCTCCACATCTCTGTCCTGTACCCCAGTTCTGTATGAATAAATAAATAAATCTAAAAAAAAAAGATACAGTAATAGAAGCTACACATTCTGAACATAAAAGCAAAACATCTTTTTAAAAAATATTGTTTGTGTGGGATAGTAACAAAAGGTCAAATATTTATGTTATCAGAGTCCCAAAAGGAGAGGAGAATGTAATTGTTAAAAAAATATTTAGAATTAATAACTAAAAACTTCCCATATTTGGCAAGAGATAAAAAAAGTAAAAAGGGTTTTACTTCAAGAAATCATAGAGATACATGCATACATAATACATATATATATATATGATACAAATATAATATTAAAGTTTCAGCTAGATAAACATCCTCTTTATGTACAGAAGAGATATTTTTAAATTTTATATTAAATAAGTACATTAAAAACAGCAAAACTAAACAGTCAAAAAATGGATCATACATTAAAAACAATTCTCCAGAAGCCTCATCAATGTTACATCAGATTTTGTAAAGAACTGACAATCATCTCTAGGCCAGTAAGAAAAACACTTGTTCAAGGGTGATTTAGTACAAAACAAACAGACACACTAACCAACACAGCAACAACATTCTCAAGTTACCTCTAAAACACATTGATTTAGTGGGGACCACTAAATTATTCATTCAAATTGAAAGCTGCATGTTCAGTTCAATTTAAGAAAAAGGAAAAACAAACAACAACAACAACAAAAAACAACAGAGCTGTTATAGAGAGGCTAATGAGCCCACAATATTTTTCTTTCTTTAAGAACTGTTCCCTAAGCTCCAACACGTCTTTAATGACCTTGAATAAAGTCCATGAATTTTCCAACCGTCTCTAGTTAGTTTTTACATAGACATATATATGTATATAATCAGTTTCTCACCATAAGGTATAATATTAGCTGCAAATTTGTGATATGTATCTTTTATTATGCTGAAGTATGTCCTTCTATAGCCATTTCTTAAGAGTTTTTAGTGATAAATGGGTGCTGTCTCTTGTCAAAAGCCTTCTCTGCATCTATTGTTACTACCATGTGATTTCCATCCTCTCTTTTGTTCATGGATTACATTAAGAAATATGTAAATGTTAAACCATCCTTGCATCCCTTTAATAAATCCAACTAAGTCATGAGATGCATGAACTTTGTAATGAAATGTTAAATTTTATTTGCTAATATTTTGTTGCAAATTTTCCTACCTATATTCATCTTTTATGTGATGCCTTGTGAATAACACAGCAGCAAGATAGATACAGAGAAAAGCCTCTGCTGTATAGAGGCACAGGTAAGCCAACCTAGCTTTCCCCACAGGTTTGGGCTCCAGCTAGTCATCAGAAGTGATAAGCTAAAGACAACAGTCACCACTTTGCACAAACCCTATGCCAGCAGTAGGCAAAACTATCCACTGCCCTCAAGTTCTCCTGTTCAAAAGTGTAGGGTTTTACCCTCCCAGTCAGGCTGACTGGTTGACATGTGGCAATAAAGTTTCCCGGAAGTAGAACCATCTGTTCTGCACACCAACTGTGTTCGTGTGATGTCCGTGTGAGCCCCCCAGTGCACAGATAGGCTTTGATTACAACTGTTCCTCCCTTTCTTGGGTTTTGCTACCCCAGGAACATTCCAGAAACAACTGTATTTCAATTTTTCCTACCCTCTCTTCTCTCAGTATAAGATGGTCATCCAGCTGTCTTCCAGGGAATTTGTCTTTACTTATATATAATTTGGTATAAATACGTGAAAGAGGAAGGCCTGGCTTCTTCACTGTCCATCATTCTTTTGCCATCTTGCCAAACTCTTTGCTTCAGTTTTATGTCCTTTCCTCCAAAGCCCAAAGCCCTTTAGTCAGCAAAAGGTGCTTTCATGTAGTGTTCCCTTAGCCAGAGCGCTATTCTTTGGGTAGTTTTTTCTAGTCATTTTTCCTTAGTGAGAAAGTCCTGCCCAGCCTTTCAGGGAGTACTTTCTACCGACTGACTAGCATTACGGTGATTTATCTTGACCTGTCATCTCTTTCCTTCAAAAAGATTCAAACTCCACACAAACACAAACTAGGCTAGGAATTTACTAAAAGGAGATAGTTCGTTTAAACTTTGATACTTTGACATTTAATTTCTACTTTGAATGGAAATGCCTTTTTTTTTATTTTTTTTATTTTTTTTTAAAGATTTATTTATGCATACAGAACTGGGGTACAGGCCAAAGGTTCAGGGGCGGTGAGAGGATTCACCAGAAACAGAGTAGGGGGCAGAACAGGCAAATCGAAGAAATACACTGAGGGGAGCAGCGGCCGGGTCAGGAGAGGTCTGCC